GTCACCTAAGTGAAATCGCCATTTTCCAGCATGATTAACTTTATTTTAAAGGTAAAGTAGCTAGCTGTATTTGCACTCAAGACAAAGCACTACTTCTTCTTTGCCCACTTCAGAAAGCTTGCTTCAAAAGACTTCCTAACTTTGAAATTAGAAGCCAACCAAAATCTTGTTTTTTCTATTTTTGACTTTTAATGGCTGAGCTTTCATCAAATATTACTCAGAGCTAAGAAGACAAATCAGGCTCAAATCACTCTTGTGAAATCTATAAGGTTTAGGCTATCGACTCATATAAATAACGTTCGCTAAAAGTTTTTTCTTGACATAGTCAATGGGTGTGGCACTACCCTTAAAAATCTATGGCTGCCACATCTTTTTAGAGGTCGTGCCACACCCCATTTACTTACCTTCAAACAAATCAAATAGCTGCGTTTTTTAATTGTTACTGCTTAGCCTTCTTCTTTACATAGCAGAAATTTCATATGAAAACGTTTCTTCAAGAGCAAGATATAATCCATTTTTTCCTTACCTGTAAAATACTGGTAAAATACTGCGAAAATCTTGGGATATGGTAACGCGCTAAGTCTGCGCTACTATGTGAATCGCAAGGGGAGGCGAAAAGAATGTATATATTAGAAAGCGTAAGCCTCGTAATCTACATTAAAGTGATTTGAACCTGACTGGTCTTCTCTAGCCTGAGATATTGAAAACGAAATGGAACAAACGAGATTTTGGCTCTTAATTTCTTAATTTGGAAGTTATTTGAAGTAGGATTCCTATGTGAGCAATAGTAGTTCCTTGTATTGAGCGCAAAAAGAACTAGTTGACTGACTTTTGAAAGAAAGTAACATGTTTGAAAACGACCGTCTCACTTAGGTGGTCTTGTATTCAAAACCTCAGAATTCGCTGAAACTTGGACTACAGGGGTTATTTTACTTGCTGATTACGAAACGATGCTCTTATGCTTCATAGATCTTTGATTATGCTTTCTGTACGTGTACGATAATGAGTCAAAATCAATGTGCTAGTATTTTGTATGACGGGCCTATTTGACATTGTCAGCAAATATCATATGCGAACAGCGGACGCCTTGATTACGACCCCCCCCCCCTGCTCCCTGATTTCTCAATACGACCCCTGAGGGGTGGCATGCCACACCCCACGCTTGACCCTAGTGAATGCATCAAAGTGCTGAATAACTCTGCCAACCTCAATCTTATTGTACTAATTGACGAAGCACTAAGCCCGCTTTTCAAACTCCCTCTCCACAAACGAATCCCACCAATTTTGTTGATTCCCGTGAGCATCAAACTGTCGTCCTGAAGAAAACTTGGAAGAGTATGCGATGAAAAGAGGAACTAGTAGTTAAATTGTAATATTATCAGCTATTTACTGGTTTAAGATATAGAAAAACTAATTACTTTCATCACGAAAGCCGTGTGTGATTTCGTGCCCAATAATAGACCCAATTCCTCCATAGTTGAATGCCCTGAAATTAAGAAGCTTTTGTAATTAAAGAGACTATGAAGAACTTGAGATAATGAAAAAGCTTTGCGCACTTTACACATTTCAAATTTGCCTTCGATGCTTTGGAAATTGATTCATTTTTTTACATCTATTAACTTTCTGTGGGGTTTCTGACCTACTGCTTACAGAAAGGACACTTTGATCTAACCGTTTGTAACAAGATATAAATGGTTTCTCTTGCTTCGGAACGCAAGCTCATAACTGCTATAAAAATGCATCCCTTACAACATGAATGAAACCTGTGTTCGTCGTACCTACCATTTTGCTCAATAGCTAACGAACGCTGATTCGAGCTTAGCGCTAGAAACCGAAATGAATCAATATGATTTGTAAGAACGCCTGGATCAACTTGGTATATTTCCTAGTTTCTCAGAGACCTTGATATTTGGATAATATGTAAGGAGTGGATTGCGCCTAATATTTGAATATTGTGTTTTCTAGAAAAAAAGACTTTTATCGAATCAAATTTCAGCTTTTTTCGAGGTCACTGTGTTTTGTTTCATAATGCCGCATGATGTGCTTCAAAATTTAACGCCTTTCGGAGACGACAGCCCAAATTCAGTCCGAAAATGCGAAGATTGCACATTCTTGTCCATTCCGACTATGTTCAATTAAGATTCTTTGTTTGAAATATCTTCGCGTCTTCACTTCGATAAAGCAAACTTTGGAATGCGATCAGAGAGTCCTTACAAGAAAAACTTCTCCATTTTCTGGTTGGTTTCAGAAAAGATTACCACAGAAAAGATGGCGTTAACGTCATATAGGTCACGACACTCAAGACCATTTATCGATCTTCGCTTGTTAACTGATGTCGCAAAATTCTGTCTGTACTCTGAATATCAGCATCATAACTTATAATAACGGGCTAAGGGTTGTTTACGTTTGTCTGTCTGTCTGTCTGAATCTCTGTCTGTCACGAATTCGTGGAGCGAGTTCCAACGAAGGTTTTGAGCTGATTTTTTGCACAGCGCCTGCTACCAACATGAGAGTCTACTATACAAAAGCACGAGCGGATCCATTGTGTGGATCCCTCAAAAAATGCGCGTCAACCGGATCCACTTGGTTTTTGGCCAGTAAAATTGAGTCTGTTGCGCAACTTCTTGCAAATTTAAGGATATTTTTGACATGTTAATGTGCAAGTCATGGTCTTTAGCCTAAAAAATTGAACTAAAGTTTATTACTTTGCGAAAACGGCGCCAAAAAGAATTGGTTGCGTAAATGTTCAATTTGCCAAGATTTTACCCGATCGTTTGGGAAGATTTTTGCACAGATATGTAGCCCACGGTGATTATGGCATCTTATCTCGAAATCAAGCCATGAGAAGTCCAAAAACCGGTTCAAATTTGCATTTGTTCTTTCAAGAAGAGTTTTGTTCATGCAAAATTACCGATCTCATATGGAAAAGCTTTTGGAATGAATAGTTGTTTACAAATCATTCGTGATAGTCTGCATAGCGCGGCGAGTTCCAATGTCATTATTGTGCGAGAATGAGTAAAGCATACAGATAGTAGGGCCAGTGCGAGCCTCTGCGAAGCAGAGGTGAAGCACTGGTATATTATAAGTACAGCCAGAGCCACATATTTGACCTGTATTTGATGTAATTTTATTCAAAAGTTTAGAGAAAATTATAAAAAGTTAAATTTAATCACACACCCTTCCGGTTACGCTTTTTTACGCTTTTTTACGCTCTTCCGCTTTTTTTTTCAAGTTTTCCACTATTGCGAAATAAGAGTGTGACTCGTTGCCAACGCACGACCAAGGTGTGGATCCGGGTTCGGTGCGTATACGCGCGACGGAAAGTGAAATCATATAAAGAACTCATATAAACAAAAAGCTCGCCCTACTTTTTGTAAGGCACATCTCATACTTGGTCCGCTTAATACCCTTGGTCTGCTTGATCAACTTCATCACCGGTCAATAGTACTCAGTGAAGTGATGAAAGGGCACGAGCGGATCAAGCGGACAACCGCTTCGCTATTGCTCAGTTCAACGAATCGATCATTGACCAAGCGGATCAATCGGAACAAGTGGGAGCGCATCAAGTACGACGCGTGCCTAAGTTCGATTCACATATGTTATTCACGAATCTTACATTAGTCTGCTCTACCCCTAATCTTTATTATATGAGATGTGGTTTCGAATTTTCTTCTCTGCTCTTTTCGAGCCCTCAAAAGCGGAAACAAAACGCCAGCTCTTAAAAAAGAAAGTGCCCCCCGAACTCATAAAAATTGCGCATTTGACGCGATAAAGGATTGTAAATTTTATAGTTGGCAAAAGCAATTTCGTTTAACATAGATTTTTCTACTCGGGTATTGGTCCTGTGCTGGACTCAACTGGTACTCGCTATTTTGCACCTCTCTTCCTTTCTTCTAGTTTACTGAATTGTGAACCAGCAATCTAAACCTGCTAAATGGCAGGTATGCGTTTCGGGACCCGCTTTCGGCCCGCTATTTGAAGATTTTTTAATGAGCTAACGATTCGTTATATACTAGATTGTGAGTTAGATGCGCCAGGGTGTCAACGTGCTGCTCTTGAAATCGCGGTACAAGGCTCTGCGTGATCGCGGGAGTCGGCGAGTTTGCAGCCACTGCACGCGTATTAAGCTTTCTCAATTATACTTCTCCTTTCAAACGCTTTTCTGCTATCCAGTGTTAGCTTTCAGTTACCTGAAACAATTCTGAAAAGCACTGAGTAGATCGAAATGTTTGAGGCCTTGTAGAATCGTGGCCTTTCAATGAATTTTATAAGATAATTTTTGACGGCAAACGATGGGGCATAAGTTCAACTTCATTGTGTTTTATGATAAGCTAAGGTAAAACTAAAGCCTTTCTATTCTCAAAACTTATTTAAAAGCATGTTTGGACATTTTTTGGTTTGGGACTCTCTGTTATACGAAAGTGGACCAACTCGGGACTCGATTGCTTCATCAGTAGCAAGAAATAAGGTTGGATGAGTTTTTGTCCGGACACTACTTTTCAAGGACCCGCGCGAACTAGTATTGTATCTCGTAGGGCGGAGAACTATACGTCGCCGAAAGTGAGAGGGTCCCGCGCGGACAATGCAGCGGACGCTCGGCCTGTGCATGTATTGGAAGGTGTATTTGTCAAAGATGTCCGACGGGATCTCCCACTTTCGGAGTGATGTAGTCCCCTACCCTATCTCGTAGACTGAACAAGAACATGCTGGTTTGACTAGCATGTTCTTGTTCAGTCTACGAAGTACAATGTTTTGTGTTTCTTTCTACAAACGTTGAGAGTATTGACATTATGGATGATGATGTTGAGTGAAAAACATCAGAAATTAGCAAAGCAAAGTGCTATTTTTTCGAATTCTGTGTAAAGACTATCAGCTAAAACTAGCCTTGGAAAAGTGTGGTGCAAGAATGGAGCCTGAAGAACGGCAACAGGGAGTCCTGGAAAAATCAGTATGCGAAGACTAAACGAACGTCTTACTCTGCGGCTTACTAATAGTGTTGGCTAGCGTAAAGTAGTAACGTTCACTGCAGCTGGGTTGAAATCATACTCAGAGCGATCTACTGGTTCCGTCAATCGTTTGAAGATGTATTTAATGCCAAACCGAGCCACCTTTTCCATCAGTTTAGCGTACGAATCATTGTCATCAATATTCAGCTGAAACAGGTTGTTGCGCTAACATAACAAGACAATGACAAGTGCTGTATTCACGCCTTCATATTGTTCGTCAAGCTTCTTGTCATCTAGAATAAAGTCGGGATATGCTACCAGACGCAGCATTTTCTCTGCCTTGTACAAAGCTTTCTGAAATAATCGCTTTTTGATTGTTTTGCAGTTATTTTCTACTACTCCGTATACTTGCATTTTTGGTTGAACCGTCCAACCATTTGTTAGTCTTGAGCATTACGCGGAAGGCCGCTTTCAAATCATCGATCAAACTCATTGCGACCTTTTTTGTTTCCTAAATTATCGGAAATCAATCAGCTTCATCACGCGCTTCAGTACCTTGTCGAATGCTTTCCTTATGTACATTGCACTGGTTGCGTATTTCGATAGATCCTTAGTGCTTTTGGTACATTCCTTCCACCGCGGTGCTTTCTCTTGTCTTCCATACATCGCGCGCATATAATCCTAGATTTCAATTTGAAGTTGAGTTACACTAGCTAGGAAACACTTCGATGGAAGCTGGTTTCAAACTATCATCAGCTATTCGAATCAAAAGCATCTGAACAACGATATGCTGCTACCTGAGTGACGTCCTCGTATCTTCCTCCCATTTCCTTTGGTAGTATTGAAGAAAACCGTAAGAAAACGTAGTTTGTGATGATGCGAGGGTCCTTATATTTCAAGAGTTCGTTCAATCTAAACTAAGCTACTGTGATACTCAACTTTGAGCAAGCTTTCAGCTGTACCTTTTCAAATAATCGGATTGTCGAACGAGAATTAGTGGATCTGATTTGAAGTAAGAGTGGGCAGCAGGTGGAGCGACTTCGAGGAAAAACCGGTCCCAGTCAATCTGATCGAAAGATAACTTGTGGTTTGATTGATCCTTCGTTTTTGGCGCAAAACGACGCGTAAATACGAACCAGTGGCATGTGTTTTCTCAAGTTTCCGAAGCGACGCAAATTGTACTCATTGGAAGCCCCACCGCGAATCTTTGCTATATCTGTTTTTAATTCAATGACTTTGTCTACATCCTTTTCAGTCTTCTTTCTGTTTGTGGAGAGGTTGCCATCTTCTTGAAACAGCATGACGTGCGGTAGAAAAATTCGAATCCAAATTTAAATACTGGAAATAAGTTACTTTTTTGACAAAAAACTCTCGGTATATATTGATCTTGTAGAGATTAGCGTACTTATTCATGTAGATCCTTCCCGGCAAACTGATTCCTCCTTGAGTAAACTAGAAAATGGAGCAGTCAGCATGTATTTGATAATTTTGTAATTTATCCTAATAATAAGTAGATTTTTGACTTCCAAGAAAGTAACGCAACTAAATGATTGCCTCAAAGGCTTCAAGTCACACTCATGCATATTTGTAAGCAAGGTCAAACGTGTGCTGCGATTGTCGCAACGGAGGGTGGTTAAGGGGGCACCTACAGCAGAGAGAAGGAGTCGTAAGAGCTGAAAGCTTGAAGGGAGCTTGAATGTAAAACGTAATCTTAGAAGAATACTGACTAGCAAATAATGATCAAATGTTCCCTCAATCATTTCAATAATGTGCGTTGAAGGCACCGTTCACCCTAAGTTGAGGGTCTTGAGCTTTTAGACGCATATGATAGTAGGACCCCCTATCAAGCCAATGCCCAAATCGCGGCGCAAAATGTCCCTTCGGAAGCGACAAAATCGCTCCGGAATAACGATAACGAGATGCACAGGACCTCCAGACGGCATCGCCTCCCCACCCTTGCCCATCCATCCCTGCGCGTCCATCTAATCACCGTTTCGGAAAGCCTGCCTATGGGTTCTCCGGAACTGGGATTGTTGGAGTTTTTTCGACTACATATTCAGAATCAGCGACTTGGGAAGGCCCTGCTGCACAGAATGATGAATTCGAATCTGTATTCATCCATAGCTTAGCGATATGGGCGAAGTTAGGAGCCGTTAATTAAAGGCCGCTATTTTGCTAAGAAATCGTGCATGCAAAGCGCAAGTTTGGGGGTTCAGAGCCATGTTCGGCTCAATGCTGAGCCGAAACATGCAGCTAGGTTACTTTATATTCTTGAAGGTAAGTGAGCTGGAAGTGCAACAATTTGTTCAATATTTCCAATTTTTGTGTGCGACTATATCGCTTCAAAACTATTCATAACTTCTCCCACAAAGGCGTTAATCAGATTTAAAATACAGATTCGAAATTAGCATTGAATGCCGCATCGAATAGTAGGTCTAATGGTTGGATTAGCACTTCGACTTCTGAATATTTCCTTGTCAGCATTTTTTCTCCCTTCAAAGTATGTATCGCAGATGAGAATCGAACTTGCTGGCTTTAAGTGAAACTGAAACTAAAAAAATTTTAGAAGCTCAAACACTATCAGTGGCACCGAGGGGAGCTGGAAATGGGTCGCGAAATCTTTAAAAGTCACTTACATAGGTCATAGAAGTGTGCAAGTTACTTCTTTACACTTGTGAATAAGCGAAATAATTTTTAGAATTTATGGAAAATTTAATTCAGCTCCATAAAAATTGGGCCTGCGAAAATTTTTGAAGCATTTCAAGAAAATTTTCGGAATGCTGGCTGACGCCACGCACCTTCTTCAAAAATGTTTTTGACCTTCCCCCCCCCCCTCCAGAATGGAAATCCTAGATACACCGCTTCTATGCATCTAAATGAGAAAAGGATGTTGAATGTACCGATTGGATTAGAAGTTCTGCTTTCAAAGCCTCACTAAAGTCTCAAACAATCAACAGCGCATATCCTGCCAACAATAATTTGTGAAATATTTGTAATGTTGTACAGTCTAAACAATTCAGTTGTGCTCCGGGAACGCCCTATCATGTGGTATAGCCTGTGAATTTTCCTATAATCTTATGTATAGCAAAAATAAATGAAAAACGGGGGATTATATCTGGATTGCGTTCAAATTTCATGGAGCTATAGAAGCTTAGTCATTGCAATTTCTCCCCGTTGCTGCGCCACCCTCCTACTTTCTATCCTGAGAATTTCGGGGTTTTGATGCGTCTTCAGTATGTTACAAGCTTCCAGGCTTAAAAGTCACAAATTTTGGATTTAGGATCGCATTCGCCTTTTCTAAGTCTGCTTATTACAAAATAATCAATAATAGCGACTAAAGTAAAATGCTTTATGTTCCTGCGTTTTTTCTTGATTGTTATCTTATTTCAGTTCTTTTGTAGATAAGCGTCTAGGCAGATTACGATTTGAGTGTGTCGGTGTCAAACTAGAATCAATGTTCCTATTCGTCAAGATCATTCATCTTTTTGCGACAACAGTAAGTACAGCCAAATGTCGTAGAATTTTCCTAACCCAATCTATACAGGTTTATGTTGAGAGGTTTTTGAGCAATCAAGCATTACTTGTTGCATTATCTCCCTTTGTAAGCAAATTTCTCTTCCTCCGACTTTTGGTTCTTGAAAAAGGTCCGTCGGCATCCTTTAAGGTGACTTGACATTTTCTTGTGTCAAGCTTACATAAAAGACAAGTCCATTTACCCCATTCTCAGGTGTAGAAGCAGTGCCCCTGCTTTGAAGGCGAGCACGCCAAAATCTATGCAAGACCCCCTGCCATAGGGCGCCTTAACTGAGGAAATAGTAGGGGACTAACAGTTTCGGGCGCAGCGCGCGGCGGTGCGTTCTGCTTGCGTTTAGCAACTAAGTGACCATTGTACACCTGAGAAAAAAGTTTTGGATTGAACCAGAAAAAAAGCGGAAATGTCAAGGAATTTCTGATTTGTTTGTATCTTTCATGCGTAGTCCAGAACGATCAAGGTTTACCTTCGCGAATGCATGGAACGATTACGAGTGACATGTTGCTTAGCCACGACCCGTTTTTTTTTTTTGGTTAAAAGTTATCCTCTAACGGTCCCACCTTCAAATCTCTATGTGAAATTGCCCGTGGAAGAGAAGAGAACGAATTGGTATCTGCTCTTCTCGAGGAAAATCTGTTACCAGTTTAGCAAAAAAAGAAAAAAAAAGGACTGCACATTCGACCCTGTCTACTTTGCCGAGTGGTAATAAGACTGATGTCAGGCTGCTAAAGACGCCTGGCTTAAACAAAAATGACACGTCTTGGACGACACACCACGAAGACTGCCTCATGCTCTGCACCTACAGCGTCAGATCAGTCTCCACAACGCCGATCTCCACGCCTTCCTCTATGCATACAGCAGTCGGAATTGCTGGTTCAGAAGGATGTATGAAATCATAAACAACACACAGTTCGAGGAATGTGAGAAATACGAGAACAGTCTATGATTTTGAGAAAAAAACGTTGTAAATCAGTCCTTAATTCGTTACCATTATCGTAACTAAATTACAGATATGTTTATTTTGGCTTTCGTATTTTGGGAGGTTACGTCAAAAAATATGCTACGGTGTCTGCGAGTGAGCTGAAAGTTAGGCGGTTTTGAGCAAATTTTGATTGGAGATATTATGAAGCAGAGTATGCGTGTTGTAGTATAGTTTTGTGGATTAGCGAACATGCTACAGAAATTACCACAAACCTCGAGAAGACGGCGAGACGTATTTCTTTCGTCTGTATTTAACTTGTAATTAACGAACAAGTCAACTCGGCGGAGGCGTGAAACGAATGAAAGCATTTAGTCAAATCAAAATTATTTCTATTCCACTTGTCATCTCCATGCAAAATCGGCCAAACGCCGAATTTCTGAAGCGTTCAAATGTAAAAGGAAGTAATGCAAAAGTAAAGGTGAGAAACTGTGACAAACATTTAGTTTCCGTATCGTTCGCCCCGCACCGATACGATTTTGTGCCTTTATGTCCATACATTTCTTGTAATGAATCTTCAAGCCGTTCATAACTTTTGATTGAAATCTCTCCTGTGATTCAAACAGCTCTGAAAACATGCTTGAATATAAAAACTTGGCTGCAAAATGCAACACTTTTGAGATGTAAAAGTAAGCAAAGTTGCAGCTATACATTTCCGCGTTCAGATTCTTACCTCTTAGTTCCTTTTCCACTTTATCTCCAAGTTTTATATATTGAGAAAAAGTCATGTGATGACAGGGAATCGGATTATTTTTTACCCAGTTGCCGCAAGTAAACTCTATGGGTCCTGACATAGATCCACCTGAAGTGATCACATTTTACATATCCTAAAGGATCGAAGGCAACTTACCGAGAAGTTGATGATCCCTAATCATTTTGGACGCGAGTTTATAGCCAGGTGAAGTGCCAATGTCATCTTCAGGGGACTTAGTAGGACCTGCACACCACCAGCAGAATATCGGCAATAGGCACTGCATGAGTAAATACCTCAAACAAAGCAAATTTTTCAGATATCCAGCGAAAGATTAGCTCTTTCGAATGTTATAGGTATTTGTCACGGACTGACCCCATTAAAATTAATACACAATAAAAGCGCTCAGAGCTGATTAAGCCAAGTAGTAACTCAAAAAACAAAAATAACTGTTGAAAAGGGTATTTCAAGAGTATGTATAGAAGTTTGGAAATATCTTCCGCTATTCTTCAATTACCACTTTATAAAGCTGCGCTGCCTTCAACTCAAAACTACACGGCGACCTTCCAAGTGCTTCTCAGTGCTCAAGATTACGCTAGGAATAAGGGTCTGAGGATTATGTTGACCAGAGGGGAAAGTAAACATTTTTTATTTAAGGGGTACATCAGGTGAAGCGTAACAAATCTTTGAATTGTCAAAAGTTAGACTACACTCTTCAAAGTTTTCCAAATTTTTGAAAATGAGTAGAGTATTAGGATACGCAAACCCTGATGTATACAGTTTTGACAGAAATTATATTAGACATTCATACTTTTGAAGAGTTAAGGCGTCGGCTAATTTCACAATGGCGCTGTATTCTGGATTCCTACAGCAATCCTGCTGTAACAACAGCAAGCGGTAATTGCTCATTACTGTAATTCTAAATTAAGCCGGCTTCACATAATACCCAACAGACAAAGATATGAGCACCAAGGAGGGCTGCATCTCGTTACTTGCGATTTTCAATTGCCAGACGCCGCAAGCGATATACTGGTAGTACCCAGCAGATGGCAAATCTGAGCAGAGAAATCGGCCAGCAAATCTCGCAACGCATAGTTCTACATCTCTTCTCAAGGTTCTCAGTCCAATGTTGTGTTTACTACTTTTATGAAGTACTGGCCACAAAGCTTGCGAAAGTAAGTTTTCAAGAAGTCAAAACATTACATAGTACTAAGCAAATATCATGTAAGGGTTGCTCTATAATTCTACAGCAGATAGGTAGAGCTTTGGTACATTCCGGGATTCACAGTGGTCAGAAGTTCGATGAAAGATAATTGAGATTTTTACTCAAGAATTTTGATGTTTTCAATGATAAGCTCTCTACAATAACTAGCGCTCATAACAATTCCCCTGAAATTCCGCGATTACCGTTGTGAGAAGCCGTCACTTTGGGAATATCAATGTCCCAGGCGGGTTACTGTAACGTCGCGTGCGGCGATTCTTGAGTGACACCCACAAGTAATAAGCGCCCTCAACGAGGCCCCCCAAATTTTCGATAATCCCTAGCTCGCGGGCTATCAAAGATTTCGATATCCTGAGATTTCGCTCATCTTTTACACAAAGTGTAATTTCTGTTTGTCTGTCTGTCTGCACGTATGTTAAGAAAGAAAATTTCATTCTTAAACCGATCCGGACCAAACTTGGCACACATATACTCCGGGGCGGGGCGGGTGTCGTAGGCTACTTTTCGTTATCAATCTCGACCGATATCGATTTTATCAATTTTTATCGTTTTTTGTAAAGTTTGAGCTACGGTGCTGGGAGTTGGGGTACAGGGTGGTAAGTTAGCATGCTGATTACGAATACGATATTAGTTTTCAAAACTATCCGCTACTTTTTTTGATTCCGTCGATTTGCAAAGTTTGAGCTACAGGGCTGGGAGTTGGCATAGGGGGTAATCGAACATACTGATTACTAAAACAGCGGGAATAGTGAATTGGCATGTAGACGTGGGCACAGGGAAAGGTTGTACAGGGATGAGAGCTTTATCATAGTGTTTTGACAGAGCCGGGCGTAGCTGGGTAAGCCAGCTAGTATCTACTATAAAGATATTTAGCAGAGCCACATCGTACTTTGAGCCATTTTACAACGTTTTCTTTAAGTTACAAGATGATAAACGATTTTGGAAGTGAGGGGTGATTCCCTGAGGATCCCTAGTGGATGCATGGCGTGCTTTTATAAGTTAATGCAAACGCATGAAGTCTGCCCCAAGCAAACGCGCTTACGACCATTCATGAAGGGTCGTTGCAGTGTCACATCGCACAGCGATTAGAATCGCAAAGGCCTTAGGCCTTATGCGTAAATTATTAGGTATGAGAACCTTGATAATAATAAAAGAAGGTAATGAGATAGGCTACATTCGTAGCTTCACAGTTAGCCAAAGCAGGTTTATTTGTTTTGAACGGGTAGTTAGTGGTTGTGCTTGTTACAAAATTTTCAAACCTGATCTTGTCACATATGTTACATGTATTTCTATGACATCTACCACCTTTATTATCATTGCAATTTTCGATTTCTACCATTTTCAACCGCTGTCCCTCGTTAATATCGTTGGACAGGGACGACATGTAACTTGTATAATAAGAGTTTTCGGGGTTTGCGGACCAAAATCCATTGGGCCCGAGGGGGTCCATCCAGGACTCTTATGCGGTTTCCTTATCAGAGGGTGTTTTCCCCTCGGCTAGGACAAGCCTCTTCATCGCTGGGAAGCGCTATCCGTTGTGTAAACCGCATTGGATATAATGTGCCCAGCACTACGCCAGGGTTCTCCCGAATTAACAAGTTAAAAGCAATAATCAATGTGTATTAGCACAGCGATAAGTTATTGTTTCAAAATTTATTATTCTGTCCATGAAGTAGTACTAAAACTTTATTTGTACTAAGTAATTAACCCATGATATATAGCCGTGTCACACTCAAAGTTTATAAGTTAACACGTTTCGAACCGCGAAATTGCGCGCGGCGAAAAAGAGTACATATTCAGCCATTAGACAACAAAGGGAGCTTATTTCGAAGGCTATGTGCTACATCTTCAATCAGCATGTAAGATAAGTGCCATACACAAAGTTCTGAGTGGATTTAAAGTGTTTAAAATTTGTCGCTTGAGAAGGGCTTCTTTGCTTTCCTGGAAGATGAGAACAAAAACGGAGTTTGTAGTGTTATCCAAAAGTATCTATGCTGTACACATCAGTATTGAAACTACGGTTATTCTCTTTAATAACGAAGCAAAGAAAAGTTGCGACGTTGCACGCGTCGTTCGCGTTGCTGCGCTTCGTTGCAACTAATGTTCGATTTGTGCTCATATCTCCCAAATGAATATCGATGGCACGACTCTACAGAGTCAGTTGAAAAGTAGAAGCTTAGGTCTTTGACTTGATAATCTTGGACTAAAAGAAAACTTCCTGTAAACTTCAAAAAGATCCTTCAAAGCAGCGTGCTGCACCATGTGCAGCAATCCGAAACGTGTTAATACTATTAGGCTGCTAATCACAGCAATAAGCATGACTAGCTAATTGCGAAATAAAAACTGAAGATAATTAACATTGATATATATTGATATAGATATTGAAGATAATTAATATGCCATAAAAGTGATTTGTTATGAATATTATTATTGAGTAAGTATCCATATATAAATAATTATAAGGAAAAATAAAAATAAAAATATAGAGAAAAATAAATAAATGAATGAATAAATAAATTTTTTGAGGTAATACAAATATTATGTAGCAACAGAGCTATGGCCCAATAGTAGCCGGAAATCCTGGCAAGTTAAATTAGCGACTGATATACAAAATCCACCTTTAGACCTTATGTCTCTGTTGACTCTTAATGTCAACAGGGTGGTGTGGCTAACAAGTAAATGTAAGTAATGTGGGAAGATTTGCACATATACGCACATAGAGGCAAAAAGGTGTGCTGATATAGCTAAAAACTATCTAGTATATAATGCTAATTAGCGATACTCAATATCCCTAATATCTCTAATATCCACCTTGCTAGATATGTCTCTGTCTCTCATATCTGTACTGCGAAATCCGACTAGATGTTGCTTGTGTCGGGTCATCTTCAGAAGACTGCGCTCGAGCGCTCTGTGGATGGTCCGTAAGGCTTTCGACGTGGCTACTGTGTTAGCTCAGGTCTCAGCTGCGTAGCAGAGCGCCGGGAGAACGGTTGAGTCGAACAGGCGGGCACGAAACTCCGGGTCTGTCAGTTGGTCGGTGGCTTCCTTCGAAGCCCGAAGGCGACCCAAGCTGCTCTTCTTTTCCTGTTAAGTTCTTCCCTCAAGTCGTTCTCCATGTTCATTGACGTCCGAGATACACGTAAGAAGACGTCTCCATAATAAGGGTGCCTTCCAGTTCCATTTCTGCATCTTCGCAAAGGGCGTTCTTCATGAATTGAGTCTTCTTCCGATTTATTCACAATCCGACCTCTTTTCTACTTCGTTCAATTCCTTCAGCATCGTCTCTGCTTCGGTGATACTGCTCGAAAAGAGAACGATGTCGTCCGCAAAACGAAAGTTAGACAGGAATCTCCCATCAATATGCCTCTCTCGTTCCAGTCCTCGGCCTTGCAGTGGGACTTCATCACCCACTGCAAGGCCGCGGTGAACAACTTCGGCGAAATAGTATCACCTTGTCGAACCCCCTTCCCGATTGGAATGGTCAGGGGGCGGTGGAATAGCTGCATCGTTGTTGTGCAGTCCTTGTAGCAGCTGGCTAGTGTCCTCACGTAGGCTGGGTCCACTCCTTGATCGACTAGCGCTGACAGGATGGCGTTGGTTTCGACGCTGTCAAAGGCTTGGTATTCCCGGCAGACTTCTATGACTCTCGAAACCGTTTGGATGTAATCCCTGCAACTGAATCCCTTGCGGAATCCAGCTTGTTCTTGGGGTTGGGCTTCATCCAGTGTCCTAGATATGCGAGCGAGGATAATCTTTGTGAAAAGTTTGTAGAGCACTCAGCAGGCATATTGGACGGTAGTTCCGAAGATCCTCCCACGCGCCCTTCTTGAAGAGAAGGACGGTTTTTGACATTCTCCACTGGTCGGGAATCTTCTCCTTCTGAAGCTAAGACATCAAATGTGACGCAAGAATCTCGTGTAGACGGTGTCCTCCGGCTCGCAGAAGTTCGACGGAAAGATGATCTGGTCCTGAAGCCGTGGACGTCTTCATGGTCTCTGTATCGCGATACGCACTTCAGTAGGCAAAATCCTTGGTGGTACTTCTCCAGTGGAAACAACGGGCAT